TTACGGACATTTAGTAGTCAGGAAATGAATAAATGTTATTATTGATCCATTCCAAAGGTTGCTTCTAACTTCGACCAATACAACGCAGTTGCTATTTAACAATAATGCTGCTTCCTTCAATGTTTCACCACCTCAAAGTTATCTTGATCATTAACGAGCACAATTTTCCCAGATCGATCGCAAAAAAATATATGATGCTCCAATAGACAACACAACAAATCAACATGTTAATCCGAACACTTTTATTAGGCAACTACAAAGTTATATGGGCCTGTATCCGTTTGTTGACGCTTTATCGAAATCTGCAGGGTGGCCGACAACGGCTGCTGAACAACCAATTCTCTTATCACAATTGGGGTGCATAGTATCGGATCAATTTTCCACATTCAGATGAGATCGAATTTTTAAGTATGGGAAAAGAAAACAATATTGGATAACAACAATCATCACATATTGATCAGATTTCTAATCAACATAATGAGACAATATGAATCATGGATGGAAATAGTGAAGATCCGTCCATGACAGTAAAATTAATGATGTTGTTTAAATTACAACAAAACAAAGTGGTTGAAAAGGTAATGAGCGAATATTCTTTGAACGTGTTTCAACTTTTTGTTCATTACCAATGATATGCCTCCGCATTTTATTCAAAAGGAAGAATCAACCCTCACTAAGAACGCAAAAAAAAGGCAATAAAATGAAAAATGATTTCCAAACTTCCAATTTGTCAAAACACCTTAACCAAAGAATAACAGATTATCATGGGAAATATTAGTCCTTTCACTCCTTCATCAGCTCCAATGGCAAAACATGATCACGGTACTCACAAACTCCTTCACTACACGAATTCAAGAAATGGAAGTTGAACTTAAGCTGCTGCTTCTACGGTTACTCATTCCACTGTCTGATTTCAAAGGAAGAATCAACACCCTAATTTTTCTTGAGGAGTCATTGGTCCAAATTCAACCAATACATCTAGTTCGCCTTCTCTTTCTACTTCTCCTGCTGTTAGTACACTAGTATGGCAATCAAATTATTATGCTTCTAAAAAAACGGAGAAATTCTGAAAGAAGCAATTAAAAAGACATAACAGGATACGTGAAATGCAAGCAACCAGCTTTATTTTATCTAATTCTGGAGTTGTATCAGCTGCCACAAATAGCATGGGAAAATGCTATGCAGATACAGTAGCCATAGGAAATGGAGCAAAGGTAAACATCAAACTTTAAAATATGAATTATAATAAATTCTTGACATACTTATTATTATTTTTTTTAAACTTATAGAAACCGGACCTAATTTATATGAATACTGCTTGCTAGCAATTCAAGTAACATTGCAATTATTGCACTATCTCCTCAACCTAATAACGTTACTATAAATGTGATATCAAGCCCAGTTGAAAATATTCGGGGATATGGGTTAGGGTATTTTTATTATTTTCATAAAATTCTATTTTGTATTTAATAAACTTCAATTATATATCATTATTTTGAATAAGATTACAAAGTCAATCAAGAAAGCCATCAGAAAACTTAAAAAATAAACCTCTTTCAACTTGAGTTTGTCAAAGACTTCAAGCAACGGCGGTGTTAATTCCAATGAATATTTTGCATCTCATTCTCCTTCGGAAGAATTTTTAAAATTATGTCAAACTTTTACGTGGTTGAATGATGTGAAAGGTAATTTTTTTTTTCATTTATATTTATTTATTTATAAATAAAATTAATGTACACAACATTCTTAATTAGGGATTTTATTCAGATGTTGCTTGCTTTCCCACTTGATCCTCCTCACGTCACTATTGAAATCATGTAAGATCGATTTATACTAATTCGCCGATTCTAGATGATCAAAGATTTGCTGATAAATTTGTCAAGAGACGTAAAGCAGACGCTAGCCGTTAGTTTATTATGCATAATATAATCTTGGTCGTTTATACGATGATTCGGTATCTACAAGCAACAAAATCTGGTCATCTTCTTGTTACACATAATCTTGGTCGATATACGAAAATAGAACAACAAACCGTATTTTTTTAAATGGCATCGTGAAACGGCCAACTGGTTATTAAAGTTGGTCTCCCGTTTGGAACGAAAAGAAAATCTCGAAAAGGCATTTTACTGATATCAACTAGCAGCAGGAAAACAAAATTTTATATAAATTAAGTGAATATTATGAATCCGGTATGGTATGAAAAAAGATGAATTTAAGCATTTGAATATAAGCAATCCGCCCAATCTAGGGTAAATAAACGCAAAGTTAATGCTGGAACGGAAATCAATATATGATGTGATGATAGATGACAGTTATAATCAATTATTGGTTTCATAAAGTAGGGGAATTTTATAAAATGGGAAATGACGACGTTTTCGAAGCCTTGTCAGAGAATTTGAAATCAGCTAATCAAAGTGATGTGAGTAAACTTTTTGAAAAGGTAATGTTAAACAATAGTTTAATTACTCGTCTGTTTTTATAAATTACATGATTTAAAAAATAACCTTTTTGATGTAAACAACTTTATTTAAATGAAAATTTAATGATTTTCCATCTTTATGCCTTTTTCTTGGCTTTTCTGTTCTAAATCCTTTCATGAAAATTTTTTTTTATAAAATTTTTTATCACGTGGTTCTTACATTAATATAGCCATTAGATTATACATCCTTACTAATTTTTTTTTTATTTATTTGCAACTGTAATAAATAAAGATTTTTAACTGATCTAGACCTTTATTTTGGAAATGTTGATGATTAGTTGATACTATTTAACGTTAATATAATATTGTAATGACAAATAATATAAATAAAACTGAAATCATAATTAAAATATTTTTCACTCATGAAATATGCATAATTGTTATTTAAATATTATATTTCAAAAGTAATTACAAAAATTAAATCACCAAATAAAAATAACATTTATTATATTAATAATAGTATCCCTTTTTCAATATTAACTTGATTATTAAATATTTTCAAATTAACAACCCAGCTCTTTTTTTTTCTGATATCTCATTTCATCATACATATAATTTAAGTATTATCACCTTCCATAAATTTTATATTTCAAAATAAAATTTCATTCATAAAATAAAAAGAATAAAATATTAGTCTATTTAAATCTATAATAGTTTTTTTTTTCATCAGTAGTATTAAAAATAATAATTAATTATCAAAAACAGGCAATAATAATATCTATTAATTTTATCCAAAGTAATTTCAAGAGGTGTTTTTCTTAGAAAGATTATGTTTAGTGTAATAGTTTATAATCTGAATTATAATGATAAACTTTAACATATCATTTAAACTTTTTGAGATATTTAAAAGGTCTAATCTATTTAGATTTTTTGAATCCAACCTTTTTTGTTATTCTAATAATTTATGCTTTTTCTGATATCTTGTGATTGTAGCTAGATATATAATAATTTCAACAGTTTATTTCAAATATAATAGTAAAGATAATTTACATTTTGCTTATTTTTAAAATATAGTATCTAATTATCAATTATGTCTTGTATCTATTGATTATAATATAAGATTATACTTAAAGATGGTTCCCATAATTATTTTTAAAATTTTTAACTAGTTGCAACTTAAGTTGCAACATTTTGAGTTGCAACT